GACTGCTGCGATCACCCTGGGGCCACCTACGCCAACAACTACGTCAGGCTAGGCATTTACCTGCTAACATTTGTTTTCACATTTTCTGTGATAAAATGTGACATTAAAAATTGAAAATTTTTCAAATTTGCAGAACAGTGGAGGTGGAAAGTAATATTTAGTTCATATAGTAGGGCTCAACGAGTGATTCGCTTAATAGCCTCTGCCGTGCCAGTGATCATTAATCAAGTCCCATTTTATGAGACTGATGTCATAGCACAGAATGTCTGCCGTTTCTTTGAATAGAAATGGGAAACCATGTCTTCACCAAACTGTAGCCAAGACATACTGTGAAACATTTTATTTTAGCTGGAATTAATTTTCGCCAAAAAAGATTTTTTGGGTGTTTTGAATGGAATTTATTTTTATTGATAATTGATGAGTTGAATGTGAGACATAGGAAAAAAAAAGTGTATTTGCTGTATTTTATTTTAACTGAAGTATCACTTCAGCGAAAATAGCGAAAATAAATTCCAACCGGAAATAAAGTATTCTACAGTAGTCTACCTTTGTAGGTTTGCAAAAGGAACAGTAGAGAACAGTAGTCAATCATGAATATACAATTTTTTATTACAAAGGCTAAATTTTATCCCCTGGACAACAACTAGAACTTTTGATACATTATCTCATGTGGAATTTACATAACATTAACACTGTGTAATGTTGACCTACTTTCCTCATGATCAATGAAATAAAGCACGTACCTAATCCATTATTTTAATGATGAATTGGCCAACTAAATCTTAATTATTGTATGTAGTATGCTGTAAAATTGTATTTTTCAAATCAAGTGATAAAGATGACTGGCAACAGTAGTTTTTGGAAATGTAATTATGTACATGGTTGTAGAAACTGATTATAGTAACATGAATTGTACTGGAAATAATATATCCCCCCCCCCCTCCCACATAGTAACAACAATTACGGTTTAATTCTCAACACTATTTAAAACTACATTTATCGTAGTACCATATTTTCTCTATCAGCAGCGCATGCATTTGCATAAATTACCGCTTCTATGGTTAAAATGCCCAATATTTTAATGTTCCTGTATAAAACATTAATGTGCTTGTAATAGAATAAATACAGTAGAAGTAATATTTATTTAAGTAATACATCTTAAATTTCAGAAGAAATCTGAAAAGCATGATGAAATTGCTGCATTTACTTTTATCGAATTTGACTATTTATAGAACTTTAGCTAAAGTGCAAACAATCTCATTGTGAGAATATACTGTAGAATACTTTATTTTCGCTTGGAATAATTATTTTCGCTGAAGGGATGATTTCGTGAAAATAAAATCCAGTGAATATACTTTTTTTCCTACATTTCACATTAAACTCATCAAAAATCAGCGAAAATTAATTCCAGCGAAAATAAAGTATTCCACAGTCCTTAAATTAGCGACATCTTGAATTAGCAAAATTACAAATGAAATAAGAAACGTGTTTTTGAGTACATAAATTATAAATATTTTTAAAATTATGGTATTTCATTGTTGTATATCAAAATTATCTCTATTATATGTTTTTAGGCTATAGCTAGCAAATCCCTCCCTTTACTGAGAAAATCGGCTCACTTTGCGTTAGCAATGATATTTACAACAGCACTATCAGGTATGATATAAACTACATGTATATTATATTTATTAAACATAGTATTTGTGAGAAGGGTCAAAGGTTAGAAGTCATGCAAAAATTGATTTGCATGCAAGTTTCAGTTTTTTCCACCTTGCAGTTGTTTGTTGTCCAAAGTAAAAAAAATAATTACTGGGATATTTTAAAAAAAAAGAAGGAAAAATTTCATATTTGAATTTTGCTAAATTGATATATTTCATGTAACACATTTATATACTCCTGGCACAACAAACCCATTCTCTACATCTTAATAAATATTCATGAGTTTCACAATTGGATGATAATATTTCAAAATATATATATATGCGTAGTGTGCTTTGTAATTGGCTGGTTGGATTGAATTGCCATTGATATATTTAAATATATATATATAAATAAAAGGAATAGGTTTGTTGGGCCGAGAGTACAAATTTAATGACTAAAATGTCTTATAACAGAGGTACATTACTTGGGGCTTGCAAATAGTGTGACATGATACCAAGATCTTGTTTCAATCTTGCTCTCACATAAGCGGTCCCAACTCAGGACAATGTGAATGCGCATGCCCAAGGTAAAGAAGA